GTTCCTTAACTAAGCAGGCGGCCTCCGGCAACCATGATCGCCCGATTTGATCGATTATTTATCCATTTGATTCATCGATCGAAGAAACGATGAGTTCAGAAAGTATCTTAAAGTACTTATTTCTCAAATTTTTCAACATGTACGACGATATTACTTTCTGATTGGATTGACGGGTTTTTGGGCGGATATGACATAACACTTCGGTGACAGTTCTTTAAATTTTTCAAGATGATACGAATCTTGTATTTTTATAGTCATACGTATATTCAATATTTAGCGCTTGTTTGCCCGCGAAGTGTTTAATTATATGTAGCTCTCAAAATTTACTTTCTAGGAATCAACTGATCGTTTCTTAAACATCATCGATCATCAAATCGTGATTAAAAACATTCGCGTTTAACGTTTGAAACATTTCAAAGCACCCTTAAGTTTTTATCTCACTAGCTCTCCCCTTATCCTCAAAATAAATAACTTCGTCCGAGATTATCATCACAATTAGTCAAACTTGATCTTATTCTCGATCGACGAGCGTTATCACGGCTGCAACAAAGTGCCTTTGTTTCATTCTCTCTTTCTCTCTCTTTCTCTCTCTTACATTCTCTCTCTTTCTCTTTATATTCTAAATCGTTTTTTTTTTTTTCTCCTTTTTTTGGGAACATATTGCGCCTACCGTTGTTGCCTTATTCATCATTGGTTACGATCACAACCGTAATCATCGCTTCAATTGATCATCTGTCATTTATCATCGTTCTTCATAATATAATTACTGAAATTTCACCAATACCAACTTTTCTCATGTCTCTACATCATTCATCCCTCGCGCTCATTCTCTCTTTTCTCTCTTGCTCTCTTGTTTCCTTGTACGCTCTCTCTCCCTTTCTCTCTTTTACGTTTTTTTCTTTCATACTTCCATTCTCTCTTTCTCTCTCTCTCTCTCTCTTTCTTATTTCGCCTTCGGAATTTTCATAGTTTTTTTATGCAACACATAATGCGACTAGGTAGTACAGATTAATTAATAATTAATATTGTTAGTTATACAATAATAACGTATGACTAGACAATGCAAGATAATAATTATATCGTAAATAGTAATAATCATGGATCGCAATTTATATCAACAATTGTGATGGCGCGCACGTGTTTTCGAAAATGTTGCTGTCTGTTTTTTTTTTTTTTTTTTTTTTTTTTTTTTTTT